TTTTACAGATACGATTATAATTAATTTAACACAATATATAAATATTTAGCACAACAATACTTATGCACAAGATATTAAAAATATTAATTCGAAAAATTGAAAAATTTCTCTATGATAAGTGTGTATTTAAAATACTTTCGAGAGCCGATGTATGCTTCATTCATTCACAGAAGGTTAAAATATTAAATGCAAAAATAAACAAATTATCAAAGAGACAATGATCTTACCTCGAGATCTATGATCATACGAGGATTCGGTGCCCGTGGTAGTTCCGCAAGGTCGTCAACGATCGGCACTCCGTCCTTCTTCACTTCAGCCTCGATGTATCGAAGTTTTCGTTCCATTTCATCGCATCGACGCACCTCGTTCACGAATTTTCGTTGGAAATAATTCACATCGCCGTTGAGCTACGAGCGAATCAACGATAAGTTTTAAGATCATTCTTTTATTTTATTGTTCTACTGCCTTATGATGCTACAGCTGTTTCTATTTTATTATTCTATAAAAGTTTGTAAATTTGTATGAAATATTTTTGAAAAAGAATTTCCACAATATTTTTATGTATATGTAACATATAAAATTCGCCGCATTGGCAAACGTAATTTTACGATGGATCTTAAGGAGTTGAACAACCTCGTTCACTTTACGAACACACCGTCAATGGCCAAGAATTTGAAAGAAAAATTACATCGATAACTCAACACTTACATCGCGAAACTGAACCGTTCCCGTTTCCCCGAGTTCGGAAACGGAAGGATAGGCTGCCTCTGGCTGAATGAACAGCTGGCAGAGGGCCATTTGCTCGCTCTTGAACAACGCCCCCATCCCGAAAGCAAGTTACGTTTTGTCCTGTAACAGAAGCAAACCCGATTCGGGTGGAAATTTCCATTTCTCTGCAAACTTATGTTACGGAGAACAATTTTATTTATCAGTAACTATAAGGCAGACATGGATCTCATATTTTTACAAAGATAACTAAAGAAATGGTACTTAAATGGAAATTCATTTCATCTGGCAAATATTATAGTTAGACTGGATTCTAGATGTAGGAAAATTTCTACAGAATATGAAAGAAATATGCAAAATGGCCAAATTATGACATTTGGTACGCAAGAATTTTTCAAGCTACAATCTAATTATAATAAATACTTTACTTTAAGATAAGTAAAGAAATGGTACTTAAATAGAAATTCATTTCATCTGGCAAATATTATAGTTAGACTGGATTCTAGATGTAG